AAGAGCTTGAGTGGCATAATGTGATAGATGTTTTAATAACGGAGGAAATAAAAGGGTGTTGTTAAGGGTAATGAAAAGTAATGGAGAGGTACAGAAGAATGAGGAAGACAGTGATGGGGCAGCTAGCTAGATTTCACAGCTGGAATTCTGGCAGGAGCTGACTCTGACTCACCAGCTGTTGCGCCAAATCTGATAAGGATAGTTTCAGGGGAAAATATGCCACTTGAGACCTAATTTTTATTTTTATTTTTATTTTTTAATGAAATTCATCTGAAAATAATATAATTATGAATAGTGTTTTTTTTTGGGCCAAGTAAATTAGGAATAGTTAATCATTATAAAAGAGAGAAGTTGTGAAATTGCAAATTACGAGGGAAAAAAATTGGAAAACGAAAGCTTTCAGATTACCTTCATTGGAGATCTTCCAATCGTCCTCCGTCTCTATTATTAATTTTCATCTCCAGAAAAAAGTATTACTTCCAAGTATCTTATCATAAGAAATAAATATAATATTGAAATTGGTTGAATTTGTTCCGATTTAATTAAATTAGACTTATGATATAGAGAATACAGAATTAGAAATAAGAAACTACTTGTTTTTCTAACTCGGATTATTCTTAAATTATTTTGAACATAAGAATAATCTCTATCAGGTATCGGGTAGAAGCAGTTAAAACCCTCCTAATCACTAATGCTGCTATTATTTTTAAAATAAGATAATTCTGAGTAAATTTTGCAGTTGATGTTACTTTTAATTACTGTGTTCTCCTGAAGGCTGCAACTTTTTATAAATTATTATTCCACTCGGAAGAAGACAAAAACCATGTCAAATTTGGCGGACTTGGATTTATTGCTTGGGGGATCCACTCAAGAAAAATCCCCAAATTGGCCAAATCAATTTCAAATGCGATGCTTCATTTCTTAGCATCATCCAAAGTATCCATCCTTTGTAAAATTAAATTTTAATTAAAGCTGATACAGCCTGTTATCAGCTAATTAAATCTTAATTCATTCCAGACTATCCCTCGTTATTAACCAGTAACTTTATTTCACTCTACAATGCAAATTTTATCTTGATGAAATAAAACTTTCTAAACACTTGTTCAGTGGGAGAGAGGCCATTTTGAAATTAGGTCGGCTTAAACATCATTAGACACCAATCATTAAGGGTGAAAATAGACCAGGCTTTGCTTTTAACAAGTTAGAACTGTTTTGTAGCCTATCGATATGAGCGTGACTTGTGACCTGTTACAAGTTTATTATTTAGTCTAAGTCTAACCTGGCTTAAAACCTGTTAAAAAATCTATATTTTTAAAATTCAAATTACATGGTGATGCTTATAAAAAGAAGAAGCAAAGATTTAAAAAAAGGATACATAATAATTAATTTTTTAGTCTTGTCTTTTATTTAAATTTTAGTGTGATAAGTACTATTTTAAATCTCAATTACAATTTACAAGGATCTTATTCAAAACTGGTTGTAATTTTTTGTTAAAATTTAGAATAAGACTACATTTAAGTACAAAATGAAAATTAAAATCAAAACAAATAAATAAAGAGAAAAAACTATTAATTTTACAATGAATAAATAGGGTATCATAATTTAATTAACATAATACATAAGTTAACTAATTTATCATTCTAGGAACAAAATTTTTCTTTCCTATTTTATTTATATTTTTAAAATTTAAAGATCACATTATTTATTGATATTGTTATTTTAAATTATATTTTCATCTTCATTTGTCAACTAAACTTCAAAATCCAAGGAAATACTAAGCCATTAACTATATATTAAAATTAAAAAATAAATTAAAAGAGCACATTAACTATAGTACCATTAATTAATTTTCTCATAAATTAATATTATAAATTTATAACATACTCAGTCCAACCTAACAAGTTTAGTAGGCTTTTTAGAGAGCCTAATCCTAACCTATTAAATTAAACAAGTCTGAACATATTTCTTTTAAAAATAGACCAGGTCATAAGCCTATGATAAACCGCCTTACTTGTTTTCACCCTTACCAATCACACTGTAGGTTTCATCGTTTGGGTCATATCTGGAAATCAAGCCCCAAGAATTTAATTGGACAAAACTTTTTATTTTTCTTCTTCTTTTTAATAAAGTGCTACTTCTTTCGGCCTTCATTTTTTAATCACACCCGCGCATCTACATTGCAAAAACTAAAACATCAATACTATAATAATCCTTCAAAAATCATTTTTAGGTGTAATGAATTCCTAGAAGAAATTAAGCGTCAAATCTAATGAATGTTTAGCATATATAACAAATAAATGTTATTTCTATCCGCTTTTGTTGTCTTTCATTTTTTTTTTTCAGTTTCCATAGCGTCGTTTGTTTCCTTTGGTGTCTCTCCCTCTCATCCTAAATACAAAAAGTATTTTGGAGATTTGCTTCTTAATAATAAATGCAAGACTACACTCTACTACTCCAATGCTAGATATAAGTTCCTTGTAGGGAAAGTTTTGATCATAAATACAAGTTACTTGTAATAGATTTAATTTAATTTTTATTGAAAAGAGAGAAAGAAGGAGAAAATATAAGAATGATGTGTAAATGTATAAAAAGAATAAGGATAAAATTAGAAAATTTTGTTTATTTAATGCATTCCTTCATATATAAAGGTATTCCTCCGGTCTTAAATATGACCCTTATATTAGTATGTATATGGGTTTTATATTTAGGACCAGAAGAATATGTTACAAGTGATTTATAATAAAGACTAGAGTAATATTCTATTTTTCAAATTTATAATTTTTATCTCCCAAGCTATTCTTATTAATTGTACATGTGAAAGGTGTTTTCATTAATTTATGGAGTAGCTCAAATATAAATTATTAAAGAAGGTATTTAAGGAAAACTAACAAACATTTTGTATAAATAACTAATCAAACTAATTTTTTTTTAAATCTGTATAGCTATATAATTCTTGCGTTCAGAACTGGACAAGGTATAAACTCATTCCATGTACTTAATTGATGGGAATTTATCCTTTGCCCTCATATTAGTACTCTAAAACAAGAGCAGATGATTTTGTTATTAGTGGAGTATACTCCTTATTCCTCACTCAAAAAACAAAAGAAATTAAACCTGCATAAATATATCCTATCTTATCTTGGATGATGCATGCTGTTTGCTGCCATAAGAATCCAACATATATATATGTACAACAGATCATGGTTAAAAACTTAGAAAAATATACGGACATGAACATTCCAACCACCTTCCAGGTAAGTGCTTGGGAACTCGTATTATACAACAGACAAACAAACTCAATATACTAAATTCAATCATGTCTGATGGTAAGGACGCTGCCTTTTGTTTTGTCTTCACTCTGCTATTTCTACTGTTCTCCTCAGACCTCATCACCGTCTAATACTATTATTGTTGTTGTTTCATGAATCCCTGCTTCATCATACAACCTAACAGCTTGTTCTTCTCTACCTACCAATTTTATATGACAATGTATGTTTTTGTCTGTTTTCTGTGACATAGACAAGACTGTACCATATATGTATGCCATTCTTGTATTGTTTTCTTCTTCTCCTTCTCTTCCCTTAGATCCAATGTAATTTTAATTGTGGATTTTGTTCTCTGCTATCCTCCCATGGTTGCCATGCTTTGACCAAATTATTAATCATCTTCTTGTTGCTTTGCCAACACATTTGGATGTGTTCAATGGATCTTAATATACCGTCCGTATGATAAAAAAATATTTATGCAGATTTGGTCTGAAAGAATAATAGATTGGCCAACTTAATTTAATAATATAAATATATATAAACATTGTGAATAAAACCTACTTTGAATATTATTTATATTTATCATTAACATAATGTGTGGCCGCACGTTGGGCTTTGAAACCTAGAAATTCTATCATTCCATGGCTGAAACTGGCTATGATGGTTTTATGAAAACAGAGGAAGGGACATGAAGATATTTGGATCACATGTGAATCCACCTCAATGGTCACATTAGATAGTGAATGAGAATGGTTGATTACTCTTCGGACACTAATATATGTCACTCTTTGCACCAATAATAAAATATCATAATACTTTCCCTGATTCTTAATATAAAAGATGGTTTAATATTCAATTTGGTTTTAAATATAAGATTTCAATCCACTTTATATATAAGAGGACTAAAAGATTAAAATAGCTAAAATTTAAAGAAGTGGGTTGGATAAGTTAAACTTGAAAAACAGAAATAATGTAACTGAATCAAAATTATAAGAACTAAATGATTTTTTTAATAAAAATGATATAGAAAAAGAAGCAAATCGTTCCAAAAAAAAAAAACTCATCATCCCAAAAACACACTCAAAAATACTATAGTAACTATCAGCTAGTATGAAATATAACCTGACGATGCAAAGTATAGAAGTCACAGTAGGAACATTTGGAGTATTGCTTAATTTTTTTCCCATCCCTGCCCTTCATTAACTATGCTGATTACTTTGGCAATTGGCGGTCAAAATACATATGAAAAAGGAAATTAGAATCATTTAATTTAATTTGGGAGCATTATTGAGAAATAATTTTAATTTATGACGAGTTTAAGAAGTTCAACCACTTTTAAACTTTTAAGAAGTTCAACTATTCAAAATATAATTTAATATGCTTTCAATTGCTTAGGTGATACTAATAATCTAATATTATAGGCCCTGAGATCTATTTTGAAGGTGAAGTACCTAATGAATAATGATAACATGCTAATTACAGTGAAAAGCAAATCAAAACGCAGTCTTTTTTCTCAAGCGGACTTTGGAAAGAGCAATCTTTTCTTTTTATGGTTTCTATTCTTTTAGTGAATCCACAAACAAGAAAAAGGAGCGTTTAGTTTTTACTTCAACGAAGAAGACAGCTCCAGTTTTGCAACTTTTCTCCCTCAAAATTCAAATCTTTTTCGACTTTCAAGTCCAGTAAAATCAGGAAAATTAAAAAACAGAACACAAGAACTAGCAAGAGGAAATCTCAGGGGAAGAGAACCGGAGAAGTGACTTGAATTAAATAGAAAATGAGGTATGATACAAGGAAGCTAAGCTAAGCTAAGTCAGAAACTAAACTAATTTCCATAGAAACAAAGCACAATGAACTCAGAAAAGTTCTCTCTCTGCTTTCCATTCAAATTCTAAACCCAGTCACAGAACAGAGCATCATAAATCTCTGTGAATACTTCCACAATGATCTTGTGATGATGATGTGAATTCAGTGACAGAAAACACTGCAACAGATTCTCCAAATCCTTTGCAGCAAATATCTGTTTCTCCACTATCATTTCCACCATTGACGTCCTGAAGTCATTGTAAGGATCACTCGAACGTTTCACCACGGCGAAGCTATCCTTCACTTTCACCTGCAATGGCAGAACACCCATCTCAGAATTCCCCTTCTTAGAGCTGATCCGACTTCCGTCCTGCTTTCTCCGGCGAGACCGATGCCTCCGGCGAAACCGGCGAGACTGTGAGGAGTCAGACGAGGTGCTTTTAGAAGAGAAAAGAGTCTCCGTCTCGTCATCTTCGTCGTCGCTGCTATACCACCAATTCCCTCCAAAATCATCTGCTTCTTTCTTGCTATAACTGAACGGAATAGTCTCCTTGTCATTGATTTTCATCTGGGTATCCTTCTTCTTCTTCTTCGTCGTCGTCGTCTTCCTCCTCCTCTTCGTATCCTTCTTCTTTCTTGCTGATTCTTTCACTTTCTCGGCAGAATCAAACTCATTCTCGCAGCTACGAGAAGCAAGAAGACAAGACCTACCGTTGAGGTCGTCGCAGAGGGAATCAAAGCATGGAGTGTGAAGAGATTGTGAGGCTTTGGGTCTGAAGATGGAAGGAAAGGGACGAAGTCTGGGGGACATGGGCTCCATGAGATGTGAGGATGGTGGGTGGTAGTGTGGAGCTTTTTCCATGACATCGGAGAAGTTTCGGGTCCTGCAAGACCCGAATGAGGATCTGAACATGCGAGAGACTCGTATTTTGAGTCGGTTTTCCATTACAGTTCAGAGAGAGAGAAAGAGAGAGAGAGTGCTGTGAATCAAAGAAAGATGGGATTTTGAAGAAGAAACGCTGCTTGTGTTCTGAGGGGAAACGGGGGAAAAGAGAGGGATATTTAAATAAATGCATGACGAGGGAGGGAAGAAGCGAGGAAGACTCGAAATGTCAAATTAAATAATTAATATATTAATATATTATAGAAATAAATAAATAAATAACGTCATGCTGTTTTGTCGATCGTCGTCTTCTTTGTCCTCAATTACTGGTCGTCCAGCCATTGGATTAATTAACAAGAGTAAAAGACCCGCTTTTTCGGGACAGAAAAAAAAAGGAGTACAACTTTTAAAATTATATGTTTTCATAAAAAGTTAAATAGTAAATTTGTACCGAAAGTTTTTTGTCATGCGATTGGTGCAACGTTTTCCTAAAAATTTAACAAATGGTGCAATTTAAAATAATAAACAAAGAAATAAATATTTTGATTAAATATTGTCATACTTTACTTTGTCAATAAGTCATTTCATAATTTTTAATATCTTTGCATAATCTAATTATTAGAACAATCATATTAGTGGAACATATAATTAATTCAAAGTACTAGTGACATTTGAAGTTGTTTTTTCCCCCTCATCTTTGATCTAATAAAAAGAACTCAGAACCCCATTACATATATATAGAAGGGCAAATATGCAACCTCATACTTAAGTAAGACTTGCAGTGCTGAATGTAATTTGAATTTGATTTATTACTTTAAATGGCCTAAAATATTTTGTTATTATCAACAAATTTAAACAGCAATTAACTTGTCAACATTAAGAGATCTACTGTAATGAATATGATCGGGAAAAAGTAATTTTTTGTAAATAAAATGGTCCTCCCATGAATGGGCTGGCTTGTTCATTGTTAGTGATCAGTGAAGTTTTCCTCTCTCTCTCTCTCTCTACTATTTGACTTGCAAAACATGAAAGACGTTTCGAACTCCGAAGAGATCGAATCATGAAGATTAACCTTCTTTGAAAAACTAAAACTAATAATAATAATAATACAAAATTGATTCTTACACCCTACGTTAGGATAGTACTTCTTGGAAATAGACAGGTTGTAATTATTCATTCCCAAGGTAACATTTCGAATTTGCAATAAGGTGTTATTGAAAGAATCTGGAAGCGAGATATTACAGGAAGTAAAGCAAGCAGAAAGAGGTTAGGAAAAGAGTTTATTTCTATGGATTAATAATAAAGTTTAACATAAATATAAAATTAATTAATTAATAGCAAAAAAAGTGAGATGTGAAATAATCTACTAGTGATTGTTTTTATGTCGTAGCTAGTGATTACAAAAGTAACGAAGCATCAGTGTAGGTTTGGTCAGGGACATACGAACGAGGTGGCAGGGAACCAGAATCCTGAACCACCCTTTATTTATAATAACAACGTTAATAATAAAGCTATTGTTTGAAATTTAAAACCAAAGAGGAAGAAGAAGAACCCTACTTAATTAACAAACACATATACAATCAGCATAGCTTTTTTTTTTCCCCTTCACAAACACCAAATGAAATCCTTAATCACCTCAGTAATATATATGTCCCTTCCATGACTTGGGTTTTTTCATTTTGTTTTTTTAAAAGCTGAAATGACTTGGGTTTTTCAGATGTTTTCTTTTTGTGCTCACTAGTTCATGTATTTTTACATTACAAAAAAAATTGTGTAGTTATTTACACAGTATCAATATATCTCCTATTATCAGGTTAAATTTGAACAAGAAACTGTTTGAGTTTCAGCAAAAAATGGTCTAAAAGAGAACGTTATTTTAAGAGGGACGATACTTATTGGTAGGGGTGAGTATTCGGTTTTTCGGTTCGGTTATCGGTGATAACCGAACTAACCGAATAACCGAATAGAGTAAAATTTAAAAACCGAACCGAAACCGATTAACCGAACTAACCGAAACCGAATTAATTGAAAATTTCGGTTCGGTTAACCGATTAACCGAAATATATAAATATGAAAAATGATTTAAAATTAAAAATAATAATAAAACACAATTACAACTATTAATTAATAAATATTTCATGATTCAATGTGATTTATTATAATAATATTTGTTATAACCATATTTATTGAATATAAATATATTTAAAAAGTTCACATATACCCACATATATATTTATTATAATAATATTTATTACATATAAATATATGATATATTTATTTCGGTTATTCGGTTATAACCGAAATTTTTTTTCTAATAACCGAACCGAACACCGAAACCGAATTATTAAAAAAATAAAAACCGAATATATAACCGAAAACCGAAATAACCGAACCGAAAAACCAAAATTGAATTCGGTTCGGTTCGGTTCGGTTTTCGGTTATGGTTCGATTTTACTCACCCCTACTTATTAGTACCAAATTCAAAAGATTAATGCACCATTCAGGGTCAGATCTAAACAAGATTAATTCCCCATTCAAAAAGAATCATGTCGTACATTTACTTTGGTACATAAACAGACAATAGCTTTGGGAAAGCATATTGATTTATTTATTTTAGTACTTATGTATGTCTGCAGGTACTATGTATATATCCTTAAAGTTAAAGTGATTTTCAATAATTGTTTGTCTCTCTCCTCTCCAGGTTATAATAATAACAAAGACAAAAGAGTTTCTTAATAGAAAATCAGATTGCTTTGACCTTTGAGGGTAGGGTGTCCACATTTTCATGCAATTCATTCCTCTATTTGCATTACTACTCAGAGTCATATGCTTCAGCAAACTCAGTTATACGCCAAATGTTGCTTCTATATTTGAAATTAATGGATGAGGATGTGAACTTTCGCTTCTCTGTGGATCTAAGTTTAATTTGAGATTATGGTTTAAATTTAGTATGCCGGGAAAGATTAGAGTTAGAAGGAGGCATCTTGTCATCAATATGGTAATCTTATCAGAGACATATGTTAGCATTATTTTTCTCTCCTCTTTTTGTTTCTGCTAAATTTGGTGACTTTGCAGAACAGAACAGGGCTCTTCTGATGATGATGAGAATTCTTGAAAGACTCCGAAAATGTGAGCTCACATTCTTTGTTACATTCCATGAAGACAATCACTATAAGTGTGTGTGTGTGTGTGTGTGTGTATGCGCACATACAATAATGCTTCACGTACTTACACTTAGCTTGGAGCTTTCTATACATAATTTTGTGATCTGAATGATATATATATGGAGTTTTGAATAATGAAATCTGTGTTTTGCAGAAGCAGACAGTGGCATTGAACTAAATTATTAAAAAAAAAAAAAAGTCAATGGATGGATGTTGATGGTTCATAAAATAACACTTCAAGTTTGAATTTAAACGGCTCAAACGAAAAAGTATAAGCACTAGCACATTCACATATGCTATATATACAAATACTATTAGAAACGATATATGCTGCCAGGTAATAAAACAAAACCTAAATGCAGAAGATGTATGAAAAGAGTTAGGAGTAAACCCCACAAAATAAGGTGACTGCCACTTTTCATTAATGTCAAGCACTACCTTCATTTTCGGAATGCCAGTGGTCGCTTTCAAAATATGCTTCATAAAATGTACAGTCTTGTATACATTGTCCATATTGAGAAAATTAATCTTTTAATTCTTATAGTTTTAACTTAGCTGTAACTTAGTTTCTAAACTTTAATTCACCACAACTCAATTTTTAAACTTTAATTTGCATGTAACTCAATTCTTAAACTTTGATGTGATATAACTCAGTTATTATGATTTTAATCATCTACGTCGTTAATCCTTAAATTTCATGAAATATATAATTTTTTTTTTATCTTTTTTAAATATAGGGACAAACCATAGGGTTTGAGTTGCCTTTGGTTACAGCTCAAAGACTGAGTTATGATTAAGTCAAAATCATAAGGACTAAGTAGCACTAATTTAAAATTTAGAAATTGAATTATAACTAAATAAAAAACATAGGAATCAAAAGATTAATTTTTCCTTTTTTATTTGAATTTGATGGATGTGCATAAGTAGGCATCACCTAACAGTACACTTTCTAGGGCCTATTCCTATATTTTCCATAATTAAATTTCAAGCAACTGAATTTGAATTGAAACACAGTAACATAAGTGGTAGAGGGGTTTAAAATTGTGATGATAAAGCGGTAAGAAAGGATCTGAGGATTATAGGGAATACTGCCCTGTGAATTGAGAGCAGAGAAGCCATGTAAAAGGCTCAATGAAGGCTGCATGAGAGAAGCATCTTTGAGAAGCGGGAAGCTTCCAAGCTCATGAAGACAAATTAATAAATGCAGCAGACAAAGGCCTCAGCCTTCTGTACTCTCCCTGCTTCAAATGTGATGAAGAAGCTGTGCATGTGGCCAAAGGCCTCTTACTTTATTCATATTCATCTTCCTTGTAAGTGAGGGATGGCAAATTTGATCTTACTCGTAATCTTAAGGCTATTCCTTTAATACCTTGCAAGTAGGAGACAACGGCGTTGAACCAAAATGGGATGATGCTGCCGATTCTTCATAACTCATAACATATTTCAAAGTTTGAATTGAAATGCCTCAAAAAGTAAACCCTCTCAGCTTATCCTATCTATAGAAACCGTTGATCCTACAAATAGTCCAACAAATCTATATTTGGAAGCTACATATCCATACAAAGCCCAAAAAGAATTTTAAAAAAAAAGAGTAAAAGCCATCAGAATAATTTTTTTTAATTTAAAAAAAGAGTATTCCCTGCCTCTCTGCACTAGACACTAGTGCATTGCATTAATGTCAACACTCTACACATTTTCTTTTTCTTAATGTTTTATGGTTTCAATCAGAAATTGAACTGTCATTTCTTTTCCCAATGACTCCTACTTTTGGAAAGAAAATTAGAATAAAAAGAATATTAGGAGAAAAAAGAAGGTCAAAAATAGTAAATTTTTTAAATTGAAAATTTTCTTTATAGTGTTCTCTCCCATTTATTTTCCTCCCCTTTTTTTCTCCATCCAAACTAGACCTTAGAAAAATTACAGATAAATAAATTCAAGGTTAGACAAGATGCTTCTTTTCTTTCCTTCGTATCAAATCTGCATAATTACAAAAGGAGGATGGCAACCAAGTCCCCCAAAAAACAAAAATTACCCTCTGGACCCGGTTAACACAGAAGGCAAGAGGCACGAAAACCTTGAAAGCCCAACTACAATAATTCCACATCATTAAAATTACAATTAACAACCCTAAACAGCCCCCATTTCGGTTTCCCTGTGTTCATCAGCTTTGGGTTTTTTCTCAAACAATGTCTCCAATTCTTCCAAGCTCTTCCCTTTGGTCTCTGGTATGAACACATAAAAGAACAGTGTCCCCACCACCATTATCCCACACAACACGAAGAACATTCCGGCGAACGTTATCTTCTTTGATATCGTCAAGAACGTCATCGACACCACGCCGGAGACGAGCCTGTTCACAGATATCGCCAAGCTTGAACCTTGGGCCCTCATCCTTGTCGGAAATATTTCCGACGAGTATACCCACGTTATGGGCCCAAGCCCAATTGAAAAGAATGACACGTCAGCACACACTGCCACCACACACAGGATGATGGCCCAAAGTGGCTTCCTGACTGATTTCTGTAGAAACAATGAGCCCACTCCGAGCCCAGCTAGAGAGATGGACATACCCGTTGAGCCCAATAACAATAGGGGTCGCCTTCCAAACTTGTCTAGGTACAGAGCAGAGAGCAGAACGAATGAAGTTTTGGCTAAGCCCATGATCACGTTCACGCCGAAGAGTTGTTTCTTGTTGTGGATCCCGGCGGCTCTGAACACTTCCGGGCAATAGTACACAACGGCGTCGTTTCCGGAGGCTTGCATGAAGAAGTTCATTCCGATGGCAGTGACCAGCATGCGACGGACTGCTGGTGAGGGTCTCAGCAATAGCTCCTTCCAGACACCTTCCCCGCGGAAATCCCCTTCGCCGCCGGTGACCATTGCCGCCGCTGTGGTAATTTCCTGGAGTCTTTGTTCCGCTTCCTCCGGCGACGATGAGGTTTTCAGGAGGACCTTTTTTGCCCGGGCGACCTTCCCTTTCATGGCGAGCCAACGAGGGGATTCCGGCATGGCTATGACGCCGAAAGCGATGGCAATTGCGGGCGCGGCGGCGAGGCCGAGCATGAGCCTCCAGCCCAGGTGTAACGGAAGACTGGCGAGGCAGTAGTTAATTATGTAGCCGAGCAGGATGCCGAAAGTGATGAAGACTTCGGGAAGGGAGGTGAGGAGGCCGCGGCTCATGGCCGGAGAGAGCTCGGCGGTGTAGAGAGGGGCAATCATGAGGGCACAGCCGACGCCAATTCCGGCGACCATCCGACCGACCAAGAGAACCCAAAAATTGGGCGCGAGACCCATCAAAACGGCACCTAAAAAAAACGTGAATGCGGCAAACACAATGGTGTATCGGCGGCCAATCCAATCGGACATTTTTCCAGAAGCAAGCGATCCAAACAGAGAGAACACATTCAAAACACCCACCAGGATTTCTTGTTTTGAAGAAGAGATCCCCATGTCCTCCTTAATCAAAACCGAAGCACCGCTCATAGCCCCAATATCTGCAGGAATTCACACACACAATCACGCATAAATCACAAATGCCACATGAATCGAATTCAATTCAACCTTTCGAAACATAGAATCAAACATACCATATCCAAGGAGAACGGAAGTGACGGAGGCAAGAAGAGCACACAGAATAGTGAATCCATTGAGGCGAGGTGCGGGTTTCGTCTGATGATCGCCATTGTTATCATCCATTTTCTCTGTTCTGGGAAAATCAGAGTGAAAATCAAAGGAAGAAACAAAAAACGACGAAATTCGATCGAGGAGGGGGTTAAAGAGGGAGCAGGTGATTCATGAGAGCAACGAGTGTGGAGTTAAAAGAGAGAAGAAGAAGGAGAAAGAAGAAGAAAAATGGTAATAAACGGATAATGCAAAATCTCGGCTTGGTTTGGGAGGTAACTACGATTACTCTCTGCAAAACTAGGCGTGCAGTGTGGATGTTATGGACGTTATTGCATTTACACTTTTGCCCCTGGTTTATCCACCACTTTTCTATTTTTTCCCTTCGCTTCTGGCGGATCACAGGAATAAGAAGATCAGAGTCTAAACTCTCGTCAGATCTTCTACAAATTTGCCGATCATTTCAAATACCTTATCCTCTTTATCTAATTCAGCTTGCTCATGTTGTTTGCTTCGCAATATTGTGGATTCTTTTTTGTAAAAGAAAAAAAAAAAGAATATAGCCAGCAATTTTTTAACCTAATGGGTTAAATCCCGCTAATAATCTTAAACTGTTAATGTTAACGTCTCTTCTTTTAATAATAATGTTAATGTTATTCTAGTCCTATTCATAAAGTAGAGAGAATAATTTTTTTTTCCTAACTATAGTATGTCATTCATTTTTATTACAAGTTTCTACTTTTGTCACTCATTAAATGTTTATGTATGTTATTTAACTTTTAAAGCACATGCATTTAATAGGATCAAAGTTAGAAATATAATCCCTTCAGTTTTTATTATAAGTTTTAAATAACTAATTCACGGATAACGAACTGTTAGTTAAAATTAGTTAAAAACAATAAATAGGTTAGAAAGATAATTTTGTTTCTAAATATGTCCTTATAATAAATAAGAAAAATGATGAAAGAGAATGTGTGGGAAAATATGATAAAAGAGAGTATAATGAAGGAAAGACAATAAATAATTAAGGAAAAAATAGAAAAAATACATTAAATGTTAAGACAAATCTCAAATTGAAACTTATAAAATGGACAATATCTTTTCTTAAATTTAAAACTTATAAATAAGATTGGAGTGGTACTAAATTTTTAGACAGAGTTATTGAATTTTGAAGTTTTTTATTGATTGGGATGGAACATGTGCTAAAAAGTGACTAATCATAAGTAGGGAAAGAAGGAACAAAATATTATATTAATTTTATGGGTTTCGATTGTCACCACTAAAATCAAAACATTTCTCTCATTTCGATTTATGCCTATTTGCCACCCAGCAAGCAAAAAGGCTATAGATTGATTAGAGTAATATTTTTAACCCCTTATATAAAAATATGAAATTAAAAAAACCCGAAAAAAAATACATGAATGGATATTGGATAATGAATAAATCATACCCAAAAATAGGAAAAACATGAAGGGTGATTTTCTCTCGACAATCATTTTTATCCATTTAGTTTATATTGTGATTTGAATTGAGTAACAGATAGTATAAGACCCATCTCAATTATCCATTTGTAATTCACAATTAATAAATCCCAGTGATTGATTGCTTTAATGTAAATGTGTTTTATAAAAAAAATATTTTAAAGTAATATATACTTAGTTGGCACAAAAATTAATATACACTACCTCTTATCCTAAATATAAAATCTATTTTATAGTGTAAATTATACTATAAAATGAGTCTTATATTTTGAACGGGAGGAGTACTTAATTTTCCTACTATCATTTTCAACGTAACTCTCTAGAAATATTTATGTCCTTTTTCATTTTTTCTAGTGAGGTGTCATTTTAATTTTTCAGTCGCAATAATTAAATGAGTGCTATTCAAATCTCAAAGAGACAAGGGATGAACTATGATTCTAGTTGTCCTCTTAATAAATAAAAACTGACCAGTAATACATTTTCTCGTGGATTCTTGGCGACAGCCTGCCAGAATTAGGAGCGGGGTATCAAAGTCAAAGTACTACATGTATTTACAGAGCATAGAGAGCATTTTCCCCCTCTCAATATAGGTCAGCCCGTTAACTTTATTATATCAATCTAAAATTTCGTTCCTAATTTATTACTTCTCCATTTTTTTAATATAAACTTAATTATTAAATTAATTTTAGTTCTAAATATAAGAGTCATTTTTCATATTTATCAATTTTTTCTAAATTACCCCTATGGATACTCGCTCAATCATAATCAAGTAGAAGAAGAGGGGGTATTAAGAAAGATAATTATGGTATTTTAGGAAAAACATGTCATATTTTGTTATAATTAACTAACTTATCTAATTTTTTAATCTAATCAAATTAGTTAAACAAGTCTTATATTAAAAACCGAAGAAATATTATGTATATGGTTTTATTCTTAGAAAATGTACATATTAAATGGGATAAAGTTATAAAGTTGTTAAATTTTAGGATATAATTAATTAGGTTTGAAGTATTTCTTTCTAGTTAAACATGTTGAAAACTAACTTATAAATAAAACTAGAGGATTACCATATAGAGTACTACCTCCAATGTTTAATATTACCTCCGGTCCTAATTATAAAATTTTATTTGTAAACTACAAACAAAATTTTATAATTAGAACCAAAAGTAGTATAAAACATAGTGGACTAATTTGAAGAGGCTAAGAAAACTAATAAATTATTTAATTATACGATATGTTATATGATTTTTCTAAAATACTTATGTGTATTATTAAATTATATATCAGTTTAGTTTATAAGTTAGGCAAATTAGTAAAAAATAAATAAATAAAAATACTTTAAAAAGTAATTTATTTATTTTTTTAACTTTTTCAAACTGGATTTTATGTTAATGACATGATGTAGTATTAAATAAGGGTAAAAGTCAAAAGTGATTAAGTTTTAAGATTGTGCTTATGAGTTTCAAGGCTTCTCTTGATTTCAACTAAACATATTATACATGCTTTAAAAATAGGATTAGAAGACTGTAGAACAGTACCATCCTGTGCCCTTTTTATAAGAATCATTTTATCAGATCACATAGATTAAAGTGTTAATTATAATTGATTAAAGAGAATAAATATGTAAAAATTATAAATTTTTTCCCCAAAAATACCCTTATACTTATTTTTAGGGTAAAGGCAGTACTATAAAAGAGAGAATAAAGAAATAAATTAATAATGCTTTAGAAAATGAGATAATAAATATATTAAATATTAAAATAGGTAATTCATAAGGACAAAATAGGAAACTAGCTAAGAAAATTTGAAACATCTTGCAAATATTTTATACAAATAGATGTTTCAATTACTCCCTTGGATGAGTAAGTTAAGATTAGATTTAGTCCTAATATAATATTTTAATTCAATTTATTTCTTATATTTATTATTTTTTAAAATTAATTTACTTAATGTATAAATTGATATATAATCTAATATTATATTGGATATTTTAAAGAGGTAAACTGGCAATGTAATATTTGTTGTAATTGACTAATTCATTTGAATTTTTTAATGTATTATAAGTGCTATTATGTTAAACGCCAGATACAAAAAATAATAAGGATTGCATCAATTATCATCAATATAATTACTTAGAAACAAGAATTTATGTTATTTTACTGATAATTCAATTGCAGTTTCGTTTAGAAAACCCAGAGATTATGTGAATTTGCGTGGTTAAATAAATAAATTTGACCAGTAATTATGAATTGTGAATCATCATTTGTGTGATGGTAAGCACAAGCAGATTTGAAGTTGAACTTAAATTAAAAAAATAAAAAATAAAAAAGAGTCAAGTGGCAAAGCAATCAAATTTCACATCAAAATGTCAATAAATAAGAGTTTGTCGCATTTACCAACTCAATTATTGAGAGGAAAAATCAAAGGCAGTCCATTAATAATTGTATGTTGGGGTCATTTTCTGGTTCCACAAACACAGCACTTTGTTTTTATGCATGCTTCTGTTATAGTACCACATTATTATTCAGCTTTCCTCATGCAACTTTCTATCCTCAATGTAGTAGGACCATGTAGTCCTTACTCATATTTGTAAGTTTATAAGTTGTAACACATTTTTCGCATGCTAAGTAATACTATCTCCTGTACTTAATATAAGATCTTGTTTAACTTTTATTTTGGTCCTAAATATAAGATCTCAATTCATTTTATCTCTCATATTTATATACTTTTTTCCAAGACAGTTCTTCTAATAATAGTAGTTCCAACAAATATACTTAATTAGTAAGGATATTTTAGGAAAGACAACACCTATTTATTACAAATAACTAACTTAACTTATTTTTTTTTAATATTTTCAAATTAGCCAATCAGCTCTTATAATTAGTATCGAAGGTAGTACATTAAATTGGCCAGATTTTTCAATCTTATCCTTATTAAATTTTTCTTTTAATATTTACCGATCATTCTCACATTTCTCTCTTCTTTCTCTCTCTTCAATAAGAATTAAATAAAGGCAAATTTAGAAAACAGAAATTAAATATACTGTAAGAGATTTACATTTAAAACTGAAACTTTTTTTCCAATAAGTGACTTATATTTAAAACCAAAATTTTTCTAAACAAATGACTTCAGTCCAAAGTGGTATATTACACATCAACGTCTTCAACATATTACCCTCATTAATTTCCTTCTCATTTAAGACTTAATTATTAGAAATTCCACTTAGAAATTAGGACCATTTTTCTTCTTTTTTGGCAGAGACTATATATGGACCATATTCATCATCACTCATCCGAGTTTGCTTTGTTTCTTTGCCTTTGTATTCTTTTTGCTTTTGTTTTTCCCAAAAGCTTACTGGGCCATTCAAACAAGCACTGTATATGGTAACTGGATTCTTAGTTGGATTGATTGAGAGCTCCCGAAACAGACCTTTTTGTGCATTCTGGCTATCAGTCTGTCACTGCGTCTGCATCATTTTCTTTACTTTATTCAGAGTTTGTGTTTGATTTTATGTTTGAAAATTGAAAAAATCTATAAAAAGAAACTTTAAAATTTTAAAATTCCAAATCAGAAATGACTATTAAAATATGTTGTTATTTGCTTTTTAAATATTATCTATTGTTGTTAAAGTATAATAAACAAGACTGATTTGAAATTTAAAGGTTTTTTTTTTGAATTCTCCCTTGAAAATGACGCTATTTACAATTTTGATTATATGTATATAATGTTCAGCTTCGATCCTCTAACTTTACATTTTTTAATATAAATGATTAATTTTCCAATTGATAGTTCGGAG